CTGCTGCTGCTGCTGCTGCTGCTGCTGCTGCTGCTGCTGCTGCTGCTGCTGCTGCTGCTTCGCTCACTTCCACTTGAGGTCCCGCAGGCGATTCCTGACTCTGTCGATGAGGCCCTGGTAAGAAACGCGGCGGCCCCTCGAGGCATTTGTGGGGCCGAAGAGCTCAAGGAGGACAGATACGAGGCACCACGTGAACACCCCTAGCAGCAGCAGCAGCAGCAGCAGCAGCAGCAGCATGAGTAGCAGCAGCAGCAAACCCAGCTCCAACTTATGGACTCAACCAATAGGAAAAGCACCACCAGCTGCGAACTGCTACTCGCACTCAGCAGCAAAGCATCCAGACTCGCCCAACAGCTAGCTAGCTGATAGCTAGCTAGCTAGCTAGCCGGCCAGCTGGCTAGCTGCGCAGCCGTGTAGCTAGCTATCTAGCTAGCTGGATAGCTGGCCAGTTGAAAAGTCGAGTGGCTAGCAGGCTAGGTAGCTAACTAGCTGGTTAGCTGGCTAGCTGGTTGGCAGCGTAGCTATCTAGCTAGCTAGTGAACAGCTAGCCAGCCGTACGGCTATCCAGCTCGCCAGCTAGCCAGCCAGCTAGATAGCTAACTGGCTAGCTAGCTAACTCTCCAGCTCGCTAGCCGGCCCGCCAGCTAGCTAGCTCTCCAGCCAGCCAGCTGGCCAAGTAGCTAGCTAGCTAGCAGCGAGCTAGGCAGCTAGCTGGCTAGCTAGCTCGCCAGCCAGCCAGCCAGCCAGCTAGCTGGCCAGCCAGCTAGCTAGCTGGCTAGCCAGCGCGCGTACCGTGGACCACTGGCTTTCCGCCCTCGGAGGCGGTGATGGAGGGGGCGAAGACGGGAGGCCCTTCTTGAGAAAGTCGAACTGGAAGTTCGAGAGAAGGAAGTGCTGCTTCGACGGCCACTTGGCTCCACGCTGTACGTACACCCCAGCTCCCAGCTGTACGTACACCTCAGCTCCCAGCTGTACGTACACCCCAACTGCCTCGCCCCCGCTGTACGTACACCCGGCTCCCCGCTCGAACGACACCCAACGACAATCCCGCGCTCCAAACACACGACCAGCAGCAGCAGCAGCAGCAGCAGCAGCAGCGGTGGCGAGGGGAGCCGGACGGCAGCAGCGGCAGGTAAAAGGCACAAGCAGCAGCAGCGTAACGGGAGGCCAGGCAACAGCAGCAACAGAACGGGAAGACAAACAGCAGCAGCAGCAGAACAGGAAGCCAATCAGCAAATGCAGCAGAGCAGGAAGCCAAAGTGCAACAGCAGCAGCAACATCATCGTCATCATCATCATCAGCATCATCCTCATCATCATCAGGAGCAGCAGCAAAAGCATCATCATCATCATCAGCAGCAGCAGCAGCAGCAGCAGCAGCTGCAGCAGCAGCAGCGCACGTGCTGCTGCCAAGAGGTAGGCCTTGCTGTTGCCAGTGAGCGGCCTCGAGGCGCAAAGGACAGGACACCTGACGGCGTTGGCCGAGGAGATCTCCACGCAGGGCAGGTACCGTGGCCGCACGCGCTGCGCCTGCATATCTGCAGCAGCAGCAGCAGCAGCAGCAGCAGCAGGGGCAGGGGCAGCGTGTGGCAGCAGCAGCAGCAGCGTGTGGCAGCAGTGGAGAGAGTGGACACTACAGGGCGACGGCTGCAGCGGCTTCTTTGGGGCAAGAGCAACCAGAAAAAAGCAGCACTGAAAGGGCAGCAGCAGCAGCAGCAGCAGCAGCAGGAAGGCTCACTAGGATCTAGCCACACATTCGAGTTGTAGCTTGCGCGCTGCATGCGGTTCGTTGGGTCCGTGAGGAGCGGCCACAGACCCTTCTGCTTAACTCCTGCAGCAGCAGCAGCAGCAGCAGCGTCCTTCCTATTAGCAGCAGCAGTATACACCTTTAAAACGAACAAAATGCATATAATATGCATGCAACTGGGAGAGCAAAGCGGGTGCTCATGCCCTCCTTAAAAAACCCGTCGCCTGCGTGCATGCATGCACGCCCGCATGCATGCACGCACGCATGCATGCATGCATGCATGCATGCATGCATGCATGCGGAAGCAGCTAGAAAGCCCCACCTTTGATGAAGGTCCAGACGCTGCCGGTGCCCGCGGGGTCCAAAATTGTTTGGCAGCCACAAGTGTCCAAAATCATACACACATGCACCTGCGGCGCCACGCTTAGCAGCATCTGCACACAGCAGCAGCAGCAACAGCAGCAGCAACAGCAGCAGCGGCGGCGGCGGAGTTTGCATAGCAGCGACAGCAGCTGCAGGGCAGGCGCGCAAGGGGCATCACGAACACCAACAGGAGCACCGCCGCAAGCAGCAGCAGCAGCAGCTGCACCAGCAGCAGCAGCTGCAGCAGCAGCAGCTCTCTTATAGCTGCGCAGTGTCTACGCAGCTGCAAAGGGAGCTTCTGTGGGGTGTAAAGACACCCCACGGCCGCCCCGTGCATGCAGGGAATCTGCTTTTTGCTGCTAATTGAATAAGATTTAAATAATGTTATTTAAATAATATTATTTAAATAATATTATTTAAATAATATTATTTAAATAATATTATTTAAATAATATTAATTAATATCATTTAAATGATATTATTATTTATATTTATTCATTGTATGGGGCTGCATTGGCTGCATTCGCCCCCAAGGGCTACACACATGCATGCACATTTCTTTAAAAACGCGGAAAGTTTAAAATAAAAATTAAAAGTAAATTAAAAACCATTAATTAATTAATTAATTAATTAACTAATTAATTAATTTAGTTGCATGTTCTAAATGCACGCGCTGCTGGCTCTAGAAGCAGCAGCAAGACAGCAGAAATGCATGCAAATTCAAAATTAGAAAAAAGCATTTATAAGTTTGTGCAAGCCTGTGAATTCAAATATAGAAAACAACTCCATTAAATATAATTATTTAAATTCATTTAATATATTTTTAAATT